TAAGTCTCAACTATCGATATTGTACAATGGAACCTTAATTGGTCGTCCCATAAACACGACAGGCACCATCCCTAACACCAGAGAATCGGGCTGGAAAAACGTCGGTATTCAACCCCAGGATGTCTAGTGAATAAATTCCTCACAATCTGATTAAAATACAGATCCTATTTCGTTTCGTTTTTATAGTTCAAAATTTCGTTTTACATGACTTTACTACACTAGGATCTGAAAGAGTTGTTATCATTGACGTGTTCTGAATGATGTGAGGGAATAGCTAATGAAACGGTCTGTTACGGCGAGCTTTAGGTGTGTTTTGCACACTGTTGTTAATCCTCTAGTAACATCAATGGTGATTGGTTTATCAAATGTCTGACGTCATAGGGTCAAAAGCTGCTCGTATGACCTCTGACGCGACCTATCGTTACAACCGGTCAGATCTTCATGTAGTGTAGGCCATCGAAAGTATAATAAAAAAAACGAAACGAAATATTGATCTGTATTTTAATCAGATTGAATTCCTCGCCATGGTGGCGTTTCAAACCTATCTGTAACCATCATTTATTTTTTTGAGTAACAAATTGTTATTTGTTATTTTCTTAGATATGTTATGTGCTCTTTTCATACAAAATGTTACAGAACCATTTAGCAGGCAACCTATAAATGCATCTGTTTATTTCAGCTAAATTCATTACGTCAGTTATATGAAACTACTAAAGAACATCGAATAGCAAATGGTCAGCTACGACACCCCTTGTTTGTGAACCTAGACGGTGATCTGACACTTGCGAATAACTTCCGACCTCTGCAGCCAGAGTTTGGTAGAATCATCAACACCAATATAAGAAGATATTCAGACCCGTCTTTTATACGAGCTAAGGGAGCGCTTCCTTTTCAGAGCCGATTAATGGCAAGCGCCGCAAATCAAGTGAAACCAGCTGTTGCCCCACAACAACATCCGGTTGCTAAAGCTGCGTCTTCACCAATTCAGAATTCAGTGGTTGCACTACCTAAACCTGTAGTACCAGTTGCCCGGCCCACTCCTCCTGTGCCTGCAAGGGCGTCCGTTCAGCTGCTAACCGCCCGACCGTCAGCTATAGAACCCCAACGCCTGCATGTGCGAAACCCGTCAAACCAGGCTATTATAAATACCCCAACTGTTCAGGTCCACGTTCCTCGACAAAACGCTGTCGCTCGTAAACAACAAATAACACAACACAACCAACAACCTAACCAACAAACCTTGCAACAACAGAGACAACAAACATTGCGACAACCTAACCAACAAACCTTGCGACAACCCAACCAACAGACCTTGCGACAACCTAACCAACAAACCTTGCAACAAACTAATCAACAAACCTTGCAACAACAGAGACAACAAAGTGTGCACCACCAACAACAAAAACAACAACAGGTAATTAAGTTAATGCACTGACTTCATTTTTCTTCGATACTATGCCGACTCTAGTAAGACATTATGTTATGCTAATCGTGGTCCTGTCGTCTACGCAAGATGTGTATTTGTGGTGACAGGGAGTAGGTAATTTTGACCAACTTCGTGGATTGTTTTCGCAGTCTGCGGCTTCTACCTATTGATGAATAGTCCTGTGTGCACGAAGTAATAAAGGACATCTACACCACTGTGTTAGTCCGGACATCGCCGTTTTAACCATTTGTCTAAGCATTTAAACCTTTAAATATCAGTAATCATTTCAAAGCTATGCATAATGCTCTATGTTATTCACTTGTGTATTGCGTCCCCGTCACTTAGCCCCTGATTGCACGTATGTTTCGTCATGGTATATTCAGATATATACGTCTCATCATGTACACGCTTTCACATTTGTATATGTTTTTATTTCAGCGACTAACTCCGACTCGAAACCAGAGACCAGCTATGATAGTTCGCCCAGTCAATGTTTTACCTAACACACCACAAGTGCGATTTGAAGATCCTAACACGTTCGCCTCACAACAAACTATGGCCAATGCTGGACCAGTAATAGCGTCTCAACCGCACCTCGTGTCATATGGTAGTGGAGTACAAAGAGCCAATGCTGCAATGGTTGAAGCCTATTTTGGCGCTTTAAGAAGATCCCATGCTGACAAAGTTCCTATATTAGTAAAAGCTCGTGATATCTATGGGGACGAACAATTATTAGACTATTTACGAAGAAACTATGGACAGTTAACCAGGTCGACTGTTTGATTCTTATGATGAAATGTCGTGCACGAAGTCTAGAGTTGATGACAAATACGGGTTATATTGCGCAGATAACACCACCGAGCATCAGTTTATCTTTCTGGAAGCTCCACAGCACATTGTGCACAGTGGACTACAAAATCTTAATCTGGCTCCGTGGTCACCTCATAATAGAAACCATCTAGCAAAAGGTGATTTTGACTGACCGGCAGTGATCGCGGATGCAGCAATAACAATTATCCTTATCATCGAATTAGGAGGCAGACCCCCATTATATTTTACCATTTCGATACCCATCTGTAGTTCGTCTATCTATAACAATTATCTCCCTATCCTTCTCCCCTTTTGCATGACCATTTTTGCGTTTGGTCCAGAATCGAATAAGAGGGGTGTCAATGTCATTAATATTTTCTGCCAGCTTTTATTAGTAAATATTAATGGTTTAGAGGCGGATTGATAACAGGGTAGGCTAATTTCAGTGGTCAACATGTCCATTTGGTGCTCTGTCTGTGGTGACAAGCCTTCAGCCCAACGACCATTTGTGGAAACGTTGGAGCCGAGCAAAGAGACCAGAATTAGCATTGAAGTCATTAATGGTGGTCTGCCTACAACTCAACTCTCAAACTAGCCAAATATTCCTTGGTGCAAAATCAAATGTTCAGATAAATATACTGTGGATATTTTGATAAAAAAAAATAGTATGCTATTTCAAATTTTATATGTCAAGAAACACATAAAGAGAAGGTTAGGTTCAATTTCCGATTGTATATATGCCTAATAATGTTGACAATTTTGTTACAAGGGTCGACGTTAAGATAGGTGTGAAATATGTGTATCTCCATTTCATCTTTATAGTTTCCTGTGACATAACTATACCCGCACATAATTGTATAGTGCTCTCTAACTCATCAAAACGTTCTTACCCGATTCGTTTTCAAATATACTTGGATGTTGTTATTAACTTGTTAAATTGTATGTATATATTTTATTTTATATATTTTATATAAATATATCCAATCATATGCAGTATATACGAGGGGCGTTACAAAAGTTCCAAGCCTTCCTAAGTAATATGCGATCTATATGAAAATTATTTTTCAACATTATCCACCTTGTTCCCGCCAGAAAACTAGTTTGTCAGTTGATCCTACAAACGTCTCCACAGCAGTGATGAACTCATCATCCGCCCCAAATTTACGACCCCTCAGGACAGATTTTAGTTGTGGGAAGAGCACGACTTCAGAGAAGCTAGATCTGGAGAATAGGCTGGGTCGAGAGGGTTCTTACACAGTCCTAATTGGGTGTTATGGACTGAAGCATTGTCCTGGAGCAGTCACACAGCTCGGTTGTGTTTACCTCTTTGGTTAGAGCACTTAACCTTTGCAAATCATCTGCGTAATTTGCACCATTTATGGTGGAACCCTCTTTAGATAATCAATAATAATTATCCCCAACACCCATCACACACCTCCGGAATCTCAGAAAACGGAGGTTATGACCGGGCCACTGGAAGATGTTCCTTTGAAACTTTTTGGGCGTTGATGACGTCACGTGCTTCCACTGTATACTTTTGCTTTTTGTCTCTGGGTCAAAGCGATGAAGCCAGGTTTCATCCTGAGTAACAATACGACCAATAGGCATCGAAAACCCGTTGACTAACCAGTCAATATTCTGGGCACCCAACGGGTAGACACCTTGTTCATGTGCAAATGCTCATGGATTATTCGTTCCACTGATGTTCTGCTAATGTCCTGCATTATTGTGTCGATAACAGCATCCACATTATCTTGGATGGTCACTTCACAACTAGCCTACCATCTTCAGTTGACGTCTTCAGTGCTGAAATTGCCCTTGTAAAACCACTCACTGCTACTGTTATGTTATGGCATCATGCATTTGCTTTGGCGTAAATTTGAAGACACTGAATCACGGCTCTACATTCGGGTTTCTCCATTTTGAGAGGTTCATGCTGTTTGGCAGCTATATATAGTAACTTATCGCACGAGTAAGTCATGTTTTGCATGTCAAGCACATGCTGAGATATTTTCTAGCAGCGTGGTTGAGTTTGGGCAATCCGTTTATGGTGAGGCAGGAAACATTTGAGACACCCCTGGTAACCCTACATTCCAAATTAGACCGAAAAATAATCAATGTCCAAAGTATGATAATATATTTTATAAAGCTAATCTTCACCTAAGCGATGCAACTTCAGATTCCGGTCTCTGTGTTTTTAAAGATGAGTTTTGAATATTTATCGAATTTTGGTTGACGATTACAGATAATTGTTATGAAATCTCTATTGACTTCTTAGAGTATCAATTATGATCTGATGTGTATGAAATTTGTATAGCAGCTGGGACGAGTTGGTGAAACTGTGTATTACTAGCCCATGCTTAGGAAGGTTATAACTAACACGGAAGTTGTCCGCGGAGAGCTGCGTTCAGATATTGAGCACAATGCTCGAACTGAGTCATTTCGGGACTAACATATGGTTTAATTTTATTTCAATAATTCGCTTGCGATGGGGGTCTGTTAGCAGTGGGAGGAAACCGGAGGACCCGGAAAAAACCCACATGGTTGGACAGGTAACCTACTCCTTGTCACGTACAACCGGGGATTCGAAACCACGCCAGTTGACTCAATGACAGGCCTTACGATACAGCGCGCGAGTGCTAACCATTCGGCCATCCAACCCCCCGATGGTAGAAGGACATTGTTCTAGTTAACAGATCAATCAAGGCTTCTTTGTGTGCACGTTTCAGTTCGGGGGGGGGGGGAAGCAATAATAAAAAGTTCATTCTGTTACAATGATATTTACTACATACAATTTAAAAATCAATACTGGAATGTACATAGTGTTTTTTTTTAAAAAGCAAATCTAAACAACATAAAAATATTACAAGACTATTAAGTTCTATAAATACATTAGAGTTGTATATTTGAGCATGTTGGGATTGTGATGATAATATTATACAAAAAAGAAACAACGTTTAATCAAGTAAATTCACTAATTCAAAAACAGGCCTTGGGATTTTTTTTTATAGAATTATGATAGTTCGCTATAGCAATATGATTAAAAATCAACACGGATCAGTTTGTCCTATTTGACGCTGCACCACCATGTATGTGGGAGAAGGCTAGATCGGCGACGGTCCTGCACATTTTAGCACATATGACGTCATATGTTGATTGTGGGTTAGGGTTCGGGTTAGGACCTGCAGATTTCGTCAAGTCTCGAGATGGAAACAGGGCTAATGCTAACCCAACCATAACCTTGGGCAAAGCCTAACCCTTACCTTAACCCTAACGCGCAATCCACATATGACGTCATATGTGCAGGACCATCCCCGATCTATCGTTCTCCCACAATATGTTATAACGTTCAGAAACAAACAAAACGAAATTGTAACTGAAATTTATCCACATGGTAGACTATTGAATTTAAAGATACAAAAAACATTAAGGGAACCGTTTTGATGATCTACAAATTTTCACACGACCACCATTATTATCAGACATGCAAAACAAAGAGTGGTCGAATAGTGGAGTTGTCTAATAACGCGAGAGTAATGCGCGTGCTAAGATAGCAACGCCAAGTTGAGCGGTTGACAACTCGTAATAATTGTTTGATTTTTTATGACTTATTCGGAAATTAGAGTTAATAAGTTGATATTCCCTCGTCATTACTTTCAGATAAAAAAAAATACGTTTAGAGGGTCGAACGGGTGCTCTAATTGTGCTTTGGTATATCAAGAAATTTTTAAAAGCTCGAAAATCTTGGATACGGTACTCTTAATTAAGAAGCATGGATAAAGGTCCTTTTCACTCTCGGGTATGTTGTTTTTCCTGACGAGGCTTTAAACAAGACAAATTAGTGTGTACTGCGGTGAATTTTCTTTTCTTATTTTTCAGTTTCTCACTAACTTATTAATTTAGACCATTTCTGATCTTACGTCAATAAAGCGCGCTATTATTACTGTTTATTTACATTAAAAGTACTTACATCGGATTTCCTACAACGAACATACAAAAGATAATAACCAATCCATAGGATTAGGGTCTTAATGCATCTTGAAGTCCTCCAATGCCGGGATGCACATGGAATAGTCTATTATGATTATAGGTGGGAATAAATTATGATTACCAAGATTCAGCTTATATTTTTACAATATCATCACAGCACAGCTAGCAATAATTCCCTGGTGTGAAATCGCCAATAATCACTGTTGAGACTACATATGCGTATAAAATGGTCCTCGTCGTAGATCAACTGATCTGAACATTGAAAAGTTAAGACACGTTTTTCGATTGATCTGGATTATTTTTGTTTCATCATTGGACGGGTTCAATGAAGTCACGGCTATAAATGAATGGTGAATGATACCTCTTTATTCAAAATGGCAGACACTTCTTGACATTCAAGTATACTCTCGCTCGTCGATCCCATGGTGCCGATGAAAGTGAGCGAGATCCAATCCAACATGACATACACAAGGCTAACTAAAAACATATGAAACGTATAAATTGTTGAGAGTTTTCTCCCCTTCTTGGTTGAAAGATCTTTGGTATACCAAACACTGAATTAAATCATGTGAGCTGATATGTAATTAAGGATATCACTATCATCAATAACTGGGATACATATGCTGTTAATTTGGACGAGCTGAAATTATAAAAAAATATATTATCATTCAAAAATAACACAGAAATGATCAGCTTTCGTTACCTCCGAAGTCAATGAGAAGTGTTGTCTTTCATATAGACATAGTAAGTACACCCTACCTCGTTGACAACACTCTTCACTATAATAGCTAAATGGGACATGATTCATACGCCGAAAGAGTTAAACTACTAATTGAGGACACGCCCTTATTCAATGTGACATACGGTACCAATCACAAACCCTTATTCAACATGAGATATGGTATCACAAACCCTTATTCAACTTCACATACGGTACCAATCACAAGCCCTTATTCGGCCTGAGATATGGTATCAATCACAAATTCTTATTCAACTTGACATACGGTACCAATCACAAACCATTATTCAACATGAATGGTAGCAATCACAAACCCTTATTCGGCCTGAGATGTGGTATCAATCACAAACCCTTATTCAACGTGACATACAGTACCAATCACAAACCTTTATTCAACATGAATGGTAGCAATCACAAACCCTTATTCGGCCTGAGATGTGGTATCAATCACAAACCCTTATTCAACGTGACATACAGTACCAATCACAACCCTTTATTCAACATGAATGGTAGCAATCACAAACCCTTATTCGGCCTGAGATGTGGTATCAATCATAAACCCTTATTCAACGTGACATACAGTACCAATCACAAACTTTTATTCAACATGAGATATGGTAGCAATAACAAACCCTTATTCAACACGAGATACGGTATCAATCACAAATCCTTTATTTATTCAACTCACCTGCTGTGGCAACCATTTTGTACCCAGACCGGAACTCCCTTTTTCGGATATCCATCTGCTACTGTTTTACCCAACATAACCGTATGACTGCAACAAACAATCAAAATCAAAATATTAATGCTAAGAATACATCATGTGACACGAAATGAGAAATGGCATATGGTGTTCTATAAAGTATACATACCCTGGTTCGTCCACAATACTAGCCTCTGATTTAGAATCGTATATTAAAGATACATTATGTAAGATTTAGATAAAGAACTAGCCATTCTTGCTATAATAGTTCGAAAGTAGATGATGTAAAATGAATATTAGCCTTTGATAGGGTGACCCTGCACTCTAGAGAAAGTTGGTCTCGACACGGCTAAATGTGCACGCTTCAGTTGCGTGTCTCGAACTGATTTCTGACTACCCCGCACTCTCTTTGAGTCGATAAATAGCCACCGCACGTGCAATTCTCTACAAATATATCAACTATTACAGCCGTAAAAAATCTATTGTTGACGATTTTGAATAGCAGTAAAATTTAGCGTCTTGGTTATTACAGCAGCTTTAGAAATTACGTTTGTTTTATTTTTTAAATTGCTTTATCATTAACTGTACCGTTAAGAGCGGCTTCTTTTGGTTTAGTACAAATACTATCTCTGAATCACTTTCTTTAGCAGGAACATGATACTAGCAGTAGTTTCATTTTACTTTTACAAGTTTCTTAAAACAATTGTTGAGTTGTCTAAAGTGCTTATTTCTAAATTCAATTTCCTTGTTCTAGCTTTCTGTTATGTTTCGTAAAAAAGTAGTCTTGATTATCCCGACCTGTCAATCAGACGTAGAATGGTCGATAGACTGGTTAAGCGAGACTAATTTCAAAATAAGGGCACGTAACCTATCTTTTACTCAAAAGTGTCTGGATGTTATGGACGACACTTGGAACCAGTTTTCAGTCTATTATTTATAGATGATTAATGGTCATAGCTTATTAAGTACAACATAATCGTTTATTTAGTGACTATAATTGTGTGAAACTGATTTGAGGCTTGGCATATATATAAATATTGTGGCGTAATTGTCTAGATATTTGGAGATATTTATTTATGGTGGGTCACCCTACCTTTGAGGGTTTGACAGATGTGTGCAATAATTTCAACCACAGTACTGGTTGATCGAAGCTAAGTCCCGGTCCTCCATATTTGATTAAATCAAAGTATGCTGAACCATTCTAATCTACTTAATATCGGAGAAATCTGATGCCATCGAGAGTTGATTAAGGCCTGGATCAGTTAATTAATGTCTAATTAATACTTTAGAAAACATTTCAGGCCTAAAGAAAGACCTGCATCTTGCATAATGCATGTTTAAACTCGGGGTTACTTGTAAAGGTAGATTATCGTGTAACGTAGTGTAACTTAGAAGCATAAATCTACTAATAACACTGTTGTCCCTGTCTAGTGGAGTTTGTTTTTTCTGCATCCTGCTGGATCTAATTTTGTTCAAAGAGTGAGAGAAAGGGGGTTAAACGTCCCCTCAACATAATTTAGGTCGAGAAACCAGCATCTGTGTCGTCCATGTCTTAAGATATTTACCTGTCAGATTTTATGAAATAAACAGCACCATCATTCCATGTTGTAACTAGACCAAAGCTAGATAGATCAAGCAACCAATAACCTTTAGATGCATAAGATATAATACTTCTATCAGCGTACATTCTCTCAGGATCCCAGCGCCAAAATCTCTGCATCTGAATAACAGTATCCACAAATACTACAGTTTATTCAAAATAATATATATTTAGAATAATTAGGTTTTAACTTTCTGCAGCAACCGGACTAGTGTAAACAACCAAATGTCATGCAGTGTGACATGATGAACATTTTGTCCTGACAGTGGCTCTACGGCCTACTCTTTAACGTGCTGCCAATTGTATAATTTGACTCCATTTTTGTCCCATCCAAACTACTAGACGATTTTTCTTTCCAGGCCGACTCCTCCATTGAGCATCATCCTGGTAAATCCAGACGAACTCTGCTGGTCATCACTGGGATCGAGCCAAAGTATTATGTAATACACAAATTTTACACACTATTTTGTGAAGGGGATCAAACATTCAATCACGCTATGTTCCAGATTTCAAGGACAAGTTTTTTCTTTTTACTTCGTTCCAAAACTGAGACAGGATTTTGAAACTTACGTCAACATGTAGCATATGTTAAATATATGGGAAAGCATTCTATATGTATGCATACAATATATACTTACTCCAAACATATATATTATATTATTATTGTTGTCTACAGAAGAGAAGACGCCTATAGGAGATTCAGGTAAATCCTGTACATTAAACATAGTAGGATATTTCTCATCTAAAACATAACCATTAAACTTCCACACACTATTACCTACAAATACAACAAAAAAACTTATCCCACTTTAAACCTAACAAGTCACAACTATATTATACTTGAGAAAAAACACAATTACGTTACACGTAAGAAAACACAGTCACATTACAATGAAAATGAAATGAGGTTTAACGTCCTACTGTTCTGCTCCTAACCTGGGCTAATGAAGAGAATAAACAAATTTACATTGCACTTGAGAATAAACAACTTTACATTGCACTTACATGTATTACAATAAATTTCTTGAAACCTATATGCATGTTCTTTGTTTAAAAATATTTTATGTAAAACTTTTTGCTACAGAACAGAGTAAAGGATCGCACTGAATTAATTGATGGGCAAATTCGACTACTGATGGGGCATATTTTTTATACTTTCGTTGGCCTTCACTACATGAAGATCTAACTGATTACAGTACGAGATCGCGTCAGGGATCATGCGAGCTGCTTTTGCTCCTATGTCGGTGTTTTAAGAGGGTATTCGGAAATACAACTTTTTCTTTGATTTATTTCCTATGCTGAGAATGTCTACCCATAGTTCCCGGTGCCAGACGATAAGAACTCGACTCAATGAGCCATTTGATAGGCTAATCCCTCACATAAACCACATCCCGGGTTATTTGTCAACTCTTCTAGGTCCTACTGTAGTGAAGACAAGTAAACGATATTTCAAACTACAATAAATTAAACGACTAGGATCAGCATTTTAATAGATTGCAAAATCTGTGGTCACTGATGTTGCTCTTTAAGGATATAAAGAGAATAGATGGCGATATTAAATATTTATGTGAACTATATTTACCTCTAAACATAAATGTACTTGAACCGTCAGGTAATGTAATAGCAAAATCAACACCTATAGGTGAACCAGGGAATACGTCCTGTAGTGATCGTGGTATAGCCATAACACCACGTTTATCATTTTAATAGATTGCAAAATCTGTGGCCACTGATGTTGCTCTTTAAGGATATAAAGAGAATAGATGGCGATATTAAATATTTATTTGAACTATATTTACCTCTAAACATAAATGTACTTGAACCGTCAGGTAATGTAATAGCAAAATCAACACCTATAGGTGAACCAGGGAATACGTCCTGTAGTGATCGTGGTATAGCCATAACACCACGTTTATCAGCTAACTCTATTACTTTATCATTATATATACCATACGTTCTTTTATCTGGTCCTAAAATATATATATACAGTTTGTAACATATAGCCCCATATACATTTTATCTGGTCCTAAACCATATATCCCATATACAACCATATACATTGTGTCTGGTCAAAAAACATACGCAATTTACATGCCCACAGAAGATGAAATAGGATGTATTATAGTTCAGTGTGAGTAAATATATTTCAGCTATTAAGAAGTAAACATTGCTGAACATAAAAGTATTGTCGTGTATCTTATATGTATGGTTTTAAGGGGGTTTATGTCAACTGGGAGCCGCTGACTTCAACTGAATGCATCTGGAAAGGGTCAACCTGGGCGCCTCTTACAACTCAGTTGATGCCAGTTGCCCATGTTTAACCTTCTGCAATTCCCTTCATTTAGTGACAACCAGTTGTCATCCTTGGCAATATATAACAGATGCACCAATACATTTGCAAGTTTTGTTTAAGGAAGTATATAAATAATTTATAATCTCTACAGACCTATCTAAAGTTTGTTTAGTTCATAATTCAATCTCTCATTCAACTTTAACGTGTTCATGATGCATCACGTATTTTTGAAGGAGACTCAGGGTGCGCCCGGTTAGAGCTTGTGACCTTGAGGAAATCTGCAGGTGGCCTTCGTAAATACAACTGACCGAGTGAGCCCGGGTCCTTAAGCTCCAGTCTGTAGACCGAGTTATCTAACCCTATAGGATTTCTTCATTTGCGCAACGACTACAGGTAGCCACGGTGGTTAAGTGGGTAGGACGCTGGCTCGTTAGCCTGGAGGTCGGGGGTTCGCTGTCGGCGTTGGCTGAGAAAGTTTATCGGAATTTCTCGGCGTGGTTTCCCTTTGTCTGTGGTGCAGGACGGGAGGGTATGACAAAGACAGCTGTCTAGTCGTTCGTATGGGAAGAAAACCGAAGGTCCCGTGTACACATTGATGTGCACGTAAAAGATCCCTTGTCAGTTGGAATTCGATATAAGAGTATGGCGTATGCCCGTCTTCATTAGCCCAGTTGGAGCAGAACAGTGGGACGTTAAATCCGATTTCATTTCATTATGCAACGACTACAATTAAACAAATGGTTTTCTTTAGTAATCGTATATAAGCACCAATACCCAGATTGAGATCAGGGTGAACCTGGCTATGATCCAGAATAAAAACTAGTAAAGAACCATATGGTTATACAAATTACAGTAGAACTATGTAACTTTATCTGGCTTTAAAACAAATAACATTTGGTACTATATAAATCATAGTCATTATATCTACTTTCTTACGATTAAACTTTACAAATTCATCGCTTGATAGGTATAATAAATTACATAGATAACGTTATATATTGATGTGTATATAATCTACATTTCTCTAGTGACTATGTTCTTGCGATTAAACTTTAAAAGAAAACATCACTTGAGACGTATAATAAATGACATAGACAAATAATATATTGATATGTATGTAATTTATATCTACATCTAGAAACACATTCACAGCCACCCTTACATAAATCAAAGACATAAAGGAATATCTGACTGACATTAATAATATAATCATGAAATGATTAAGAGACCCTATATTGGTTATAACAAACGCTTCAAATATTTTACTTTATTCAGGGAGAGAGGTTTACATGGGCTAATCCTGTTCCCCAATCCAGAGAGAGAGAGAGAGAGAGAAATGCGGATTAACGTCCACTCGACACAAACTAGGTCATTTCGGGACTAACATATGGTTTAATTTTTATTTCAATAATTCGCTTGCGTGTAAGGGGTCTTTAGCAGTGGGGGGAAACCGGAGGACCCGGAGAAAACCCACGAGGTTGGACAGGCGACCCTACTCCTTGTCACGTACAACCGGGGAATCGAAACCCCGCCAGTTGACTCAATGACAGACCGTATGATACAGCGCGCGCGTGCTAACCATTCGGCCATCCAACCCCCCTAATCCAATTCAGATATCCTAAATAAAAATATTGTTTTAAAAAATAAACAATGCACATGAATCAAGCAATTTTGCTTTAAATATATATATAATAGCAACCTTGAAAACTTGTCGTCACTAAGACCACTTGAGTATCGGAAAAACTACTTGACCACCTCACGCAGAGGGTGGATTGAAGGTATCTGATTGGCTTATACAAAAATCAAATTCCAACCATTAAACGCATCACACTGAGAGGAAAGTTGTGTTTAATATAATGTCTGTACGACCTAATTACCCTTGATTGACGAGGTCACAGGTGGTTTCTCGTGTATTCGAGAAGAGTGTCAAGACAAATGCAACCAAAGCATCCTTTATGAGTTGTTAGATCTATTACTTAAGGTCTACTCCAGATTTGATCAAAGTTCACGAGATGTAAACAGAGCTAGCGCTAACCTTACCCCAACCCTAACCCACAATCTCGTCAACAGTCACGTGCCCTAATCTTATTTACATATCAGCCGCCTTAACGAAATCTGGAGGTTGCCTTAAGAAATAGATCAAGCCCTTTGTGAGTACCTGTCAGCGACAACGTCTGACCTTACCTAGTGACGACTATACAGTAACGAACACGCTTCAAATGCTTAACAATCTTTACTTTTACTATTTTGTATGATTGATATTATTGAATTTGTGTTTTAGCAAAGTGAACTTTTCATAATATCTCTACCCCATTAGATTTGAAAAGAAAATGTATTTTTTTTAGGAAAGATGGACAAAACTTACCCCAGACAACTGCTGTAAATAAATTATGACAAACAGGCACTGGTGGTGGTGGTGTTGGTTTTGGGGTTGTACGTGGCTTCCATCCTGATGGTGCACCTGTTTAAATTCAATGCTTAATTAACCAAAAGGTGTGTGAAAAGTATCAACGGAAGCTAAATAACTGCATTACGTTAACTGTTACATTGTATCTCATATTAATCAAGATTATTAGTACGTTGGAACAGGGTTTAATTAATCTTAACAGTCAATCAAATTTGAAACCATTAAATAAACAATGCTTCATTGGTGTACAAATTCATCAAAAATATACGATGGGGTAAAAAACAATTATCATCATAACCTAAATTCGCATTAAAAAAAGTAACTGAAATTGGACTAGATGTTAAAATCGTTCGCGTCACAGGTTAGTCCAATCAGACAGCAATTAACAAGTGCAACAGGCTTACCGTACAGTGATTGTATTGCCTCGATGTCATCTTCATGTAACTCATAATGTCTTTGAGAATTAACATAATAGGCGCTCATCAGTGCAGTTGGTACTCGAGAATGATCTAGACCCAAGGAATGGCCGAATTCATGGGCAGCTATTAACTCTAAATATTTCTTATCTTTATCTTCGCTATCTATATCCGCTGTCCATTTTTCATCATTATCAAAATGTGCATCACCAGATATTGCACTGCCACCTGGAGGGAAGGCATGAGCTAAAACAACTCCTGAAAAATAACCCACAATCTGAATTTAGGATTCAAGAATACAACCCTAATTTAAGCATTTCATATTCGAGTATTACAACCTCAAACTTAGGAATGAGCATGTGCTGTTAGTGGTCGTTATTGCTGAACTGACCACCAGCCTTCTGTGGGTGCATACATGGAAGATGGTCTTTGTTGATAGTGAAAGGGAAATGCTCCGTCCGCGGATGATTGAAAGGGAGACAACACTTATGGGAAGGCTTTAGGCGGCGATACCCTTCTATGTATGACCGAGGGGGAATGTGGAGACGGTTAAACGCTAGATGATCAGTCTGTGGACTCTCTGTTGACTCTCTGTGGATAATGGGGTGGGGATTACCCTTCCGTGTTTGCTAGACTTGAGAAGGCCATGGCCTTCTGAGGAGATTATACCCTTTTGTGAATATTCCAGAGAACAATAAACCACCTTCAAATGCTTTATATATAGATGGGCACGCTTCTATAGATACTTGGGAGTCAGATGGACTTTCGTGCAAGCCTAAGAAAAAGATGTCCTAGTGCGGATTCTAAAAGTTGCTGATGGTCAATTTAGGAAGTGCTAATTCTTTGCAAACATCAATATCGTGAAATTCTAATCTATATAAGGAATATCAGTCCAAAAATGGTTCATTTCCGTTCAGTATTTACAAAGACATGGGAGATGACACGTCAGTCGATGCTTGTGGGGGGATGACACGTCTGTTGCTGCATGACACATCCGTTGATGCTTGTCGGGAGATGACATATCTGTTGTTGTCTGTGGGGAGATGACACGTCTGTTGCTGCTCGTGGGGAGATGACACGCCTGCTGCTGCTTGCTTGTGGGGAGATGACACACATGTTGCTGCTTGTGGGGAGATATTTAAAGGAAGAAGTTAACCATGATATAGATGGTGGTATTGAAAATGACACTTCGTAGGTTGCCTGACAGGGGTATGGTATTTATGTAGTTGCTTGAGATGGAGATACATTTTATTATAATGTTTGGGAGGGACAAGCCCCTTTTGGGATGCTTGAAAAACATATGATTCATCTGTTGACTCTTGAGGGAGAGATTAGATAATCCGTGGGAACATGATACTGACCTGTACGTCCTCGACTTGGACCATCGAATGGACTTTCATCGCCATGGTCGAGCCGCACAAACTGTATCTCAATATCTACATTATCTCGTTGTTCTACAAATTCTAACTGTGACACCTCCTCCCATATACTAAGAGCTTTTCTAAATGATGACCTGATTATGATAAGAATACGATGATTACAATATTAATCCGAATCAATGTCTAGTAGTTCGATAGTTCGAGTTTGATAACATTCGTTTCGTTAAAGGAAAAGGAACGCAAAAGGAGGCAGACCACCATTAAATTTCATCATCTCGGTACCCACGAATTGTAGTTCGTCTATTTATAGCAATTCTCTCTCTCTCTCTTTTCTCCCCTTTTGCATGCCCATTTGTGTTGATTTTTTGGTCTAGAATGGACGAAGAGGGTTTGAATTAACATTTTCTGCCAGGTTTTGGTAAATATTCATGATTTTGAGGCGGAAGGATAAGAGGGTTATCAGGTTAGCTACGGCGATATGTACGGCAACTAGTTACATGTTTTTAGTATGCTTCTTCAAGTTTGTGTATCTCAAAATTTTGGTGGTCAACCTCATACAAATTTTAGTGCAAAGACATGACCATTTGTTCCTCTGTCTGTAGTGAAAAGCATTCATCCCAACGAAAATTTGGGGAAAAGTTGGAGGTGGGCAAAGAGGCCAGAATTAACATTGAAGTCAATGGGGAAATTAATGGTGGTCTGCCTCCAAAAGGAAAACACGAGTTATCCCTTTATACAACTGAATAAAGTGACGGGTGATAACAGATAAACGGGCGAATTTCTGCTCACTAATAATTCCTTCGAAGACCAAAAGTTGTTGTATGGGACTGTGAAAGGATATCTGACAATTCATAAACAAAATTGACTCTCGCTAGATAAGAGAACATGAAAGAAAAATAGAAAAAGTTCGTGCATTACCATGTTTTTATAAGTATAGAATGAATAAACACCCGTGAATGTACGGACTGTTTCTATTTTTCTCGTGTTCTCTTATCTAATGACATGCAATTACTTTTTTGAATTGTCAGATATACTCTTACAGTCTCATATAACAACTTTTGGTCTTTGAAGGAATTTTTAGTGAGCATAAATTCGCCCATGTATTTGTTATCACCCGTCACTTCAGCCAGTTATATAGAGGGATAACTCGTGTTTTCCTTTGGCGTTCGTCACTTCCTATTGTTGAAACATTGATTATTCACCTATCGTAGCAATGATCTCTGTGATAAAATAATATTTGGAACGTGTTTAACCAGTTCTATCACATATGTGATAATGACTGGCACCAATATTGTCCTTTAATATCTTAGTTCTTACCGTTTATTATATAACCCGGAAGTACTAGTTTTCTTTGACACTGTGCTAAATGGGTCTTAATTTTTTAATTGTTTTATTTTTGTTCTGGTTAGCAACTGGGGAACAGAAGGTGGCGATGTTTGACAGCCAACACATAGCTTTACGTTGGGCGCTTGAGAGGGGAAAAATTTTGCTTGATCGAGACCTCCCCCCCCCCCCTTGAGAGGAAAAAGTGTGCTTGTGCGAGACCTTCTGTGCCCCCCCCCCCCCGGGCCCCCTCCTTTCCAAATACTGTTCATATCTAGATGATTCAGTTCTGAGGAATCAAAAATCTTTTTAAGGTCGTTGGACCATTTTGTCATACTGTCATATGGGTTAGTGACATAGTATTACAAAGTAGTCATATCATTTACAGTACAGTTTTTAGTTTAATCCAATGTAACTTTCCCTCCGCTTCGGTATTGCCCTTACAGATGATATTCCAAACATGGGTCTCATAGACTCATAGGGCCCTGTGGCGGCGTACCGGCTGCACCCCCCCCCCCTTCCTCTCGCGGGGCCTGTCTTTACGCATGCAGTACACATGCCCCTAGTTTGTAGTATTGTGCAACAAAGATCTATATGAATTGTGTATCTTTATTGGTTTTCTAGTTTTTAGAATACCGGGTGGTGGATGTATATTGTTATCTATTTTTATACATATATATCAAACTAATTTTCAAGAAACATAAAGTACCACTTGGGAACTAGCTGTGTGGAATTAATTTCAAGACTAACAATGAAATTACACGAAATTGGCCGAATCAATCCCCACAACCATTTAAAATGTTTATAACCGAGAATCTGATGCCAGGCGATCATAATTAAATATATTTCTGGCATGGTTCTTTATTCTTGTTTAATGGTTTATATATTATCGATGAAATGTGTGATAAACAAATTCTTTCACTCCAGATCAGGCGATGTTATTCTGCAGCAGCTAGTATTGAATTCACAATTTTACTATATATATAGGAGTAGCGGTGGCTCAGTGGATAAGACGGTGGCTCACTGACCAAGAGTTTCCCCCTTGTCAGTGAGTGCAGCGCGGGGAAGGGAGGGAGGACAATGTCTAGTCGTAAAAGAACCCTTGACTGTCCGGGATAAATTATTCCAATAGCAGACTGCATGGTGTAAGCCCATCTTCATTAGCAGAGTCGGTGCCGAATTGTAGGTCGTTAAACCCAGTTTGTTTACTCCACCAACGACTTATCAATCGCGGCATTACCATGGTCCGCAGCACGCCATTGCTATCTTTGACCTAAAACAGTTAAATAACATCAAAGGGCGTGTCTCTGTGACTCCACGTGTCAACAATCTGTGACTTTGTAGACCCTATAGTGACTGACGTCATTTAACGCGGTGACCAAGGCGCCCGATGTTATTTATATCTGTTTAAGCCACAGGTATGGTAATATTATTATTGCTCTTACCACGCAACCAAGAATACTGTTGGAACGTCATATCCAAATGATTGGATTCAGAACTGTAAGAAAATCTTAAGTATAGTATACACGGAATCGCGGTTTTTCGTCTCATCCAAGTAACTAGACGCTTTTACTAGTTAGACCCTCTGTCATGTACTACTCACACCAGGCTCCGTGAACACCAGGATTGAACCGGAGACCTCCTGGTTATTGAGCCAGACACATACTCACACAGCCGCCATGGCTCCACATTGTTTATGAAATGAACGAGATAGTAAAGTATTTATTTCAGTCGTACCTTTGTTTATCTATAGTAACTTGGTTGGTATATCTGGTAACATACCATTTTAACTTTTTTGTTCGCCATCTGTCCGCTTAAAAAAAGAAAAAGAGCGAAATCAGTTGGTATCAGGCATTATTGCAAATCTATTTTAAAGGGATTTTCTTTAAGCACACCGACGGTGCTTGGTGACGAAAATGGATCATGGGACAAGGTGACCTCTCCTTTCCTTTCCAGTATCGTAGTGATTCTCAACCAGTGTGTGCCACGAGATCTTCTTAAGTGTGCCGCGGAATTTTGAACGGCATACTAAGAAAATGCGAAAACCCACGTGATCCCAACTGAGTATTCACTGGTGTCTACTGCCAAGTTCATAGTTATGTTTTTCTTTATTTAGTTTGAGCCATTTTATGTGTTTATGACTAGTCTCTGTCTACGGTTGTATGTCGTCTGACTTACCATGTTTTTATTTTGTAAAATTCAAATATTTTTCATATATATTTAGCCAGATGTGCCGCTATTTTGTCAGGTGTTCCAAGGTGTGCCGTTGGCTAAAAAAGGTTGAGAACCACTGCATTATCAGGGCTGTCTTGTGTAGCATTATTTCTTGATGAATTCGTTTACTTTTTCACTTTTGATTGCGCTTGACCCTTATCTAAACCATAAAATTATTATGTAAAATTCGTTCGACTAGTAAGTGAGCCGTAATGTAAGTAATGAGTTGGGTGTTATTGGGAACTGTGCTATACTATCATCTACCCTTTCTTTTATTACAATTTATAGCAACAAAAAGCGTGTAAATTGGTTATATCTCGGTTTACACTCTAGCATTGTGGATAAACTACTGTATGGAGGTATTTAAAGTGTTCTATTATCTCTAGCTAGCAATCTTTCCATATAATAAAAAATACACGACTGTTAATGTTTAAGAAAACACATAGCCGGATTGTATGTCAAGTCATATTTGATAAATCACGCTATCAATCAATCTGAGTTATTTTATTTAATAACACAAACCATCTTTGTAACAAACACATTATCTTCACAGACCAATAAAGAGAAGAAATTAAGAATACATAAGCTAGATTGTTGAGTCAGAACTTACCAAAAACTTTATATTCGGCTGGTTTAATTCTATTAGAACTGGTAGTTTTATCTTCTACTATTACAGGTATATTATCAGCTACACCACAGCGAGGTGTCATCACAAACTTTAATGTTTCAGTATCTAATACCCCAGTCCTCGGAATATCATGATATTTCTGAAACTTACTGTAAGATATAATACACATATGGTCATAAACAGTGAAGATAGTATATACGTGTAGTCATAAGGATACTATACACATTTAGTTATTACAGATATTATACTCATGTATATCATAACGATATAATAAATATGATATTTGTGATTGTAATAAAGCTTCGATGGGTAAATTGTGAACGCAGGGATGACTTTACAATCCAAAAATTGCGTAATTCGATAGGGCTCTTCAAAATCAAAAGAGTTCATGTGTATCGCGTTCAGAAGATCTTAGGAAATTGAAATTCAATTCTGCGATTTAATATAAAAGTATTCTAAATTTGGATAAGGTTCCTCCGTATCTTTAAGGAACAATTCCACACGGTTTGAATGAACAAATAATTTTGAAATGTTAAAGGGGCATTATTTAAGATTTAGATGATGAACTTGTCGTTCTCGTTATAATATTTAAAAAAAATAGATAATGCAAAATGAATATATTGAAAATTTCATTCAAATTAATTGTAGTTGTAGTTTTAACAAGATGTGTGCATTGATCGTAACCACTGTCTGGTCATTCGAGTCTTAACTTCGTTTCTCCAGTTTTAATTTAAATCATTAAATGGCCGAACTGTTCTAATCTACTTAAAATCGGAGCATCGAGATTTGATTATGGTCTTGTCATGTTAATAAATGTCTAATTAATAATTTATATAACATTTAAGGCCCAAAGAAAGACCTGCAATAGGCAGATTCGGCGCTTGCATAATGCCTGTATAACAATATAAAAAATCAACTGTAAAAAAATATTCCGGAAAATGACAAATCGACTTCATAAAGGAAGGATCATGACACAACTTTCTATTTAGTTTGACGTGTTGTGTTATTTTAGAAAGAGGGTATCTTTATACTTTTATAATACTAATTACACAGATAGAGCCTATATATTTAGATATCAAAGATCTGTTGTTCCATTCGACTTTTGTACCGCCCAAAAATTGAAACATGCCATCCTAACAACTAAATTCAACATTTCCTTTTGATATTTATGAGAGAAAATTTAATCGTTTTCATTTTTCCCATTATTTTACATAGAAATGAAATGAAATAGGGTTTAACGTCCTACTGTTCTGCCCCGACTGGGGTAATAAAAACCGGCATTACTAATAAAAAATAACACGTCAGATAAACCTGATTTTACACTTTAATTCAACCCAAATCAAAGGGCATTAGCGTCTTAACGGAGCTAAATCGCTATTTTTTGGCACCTAGAAATGGACACATATTGGCCGCAACGCGTATAATGATGTATTTCGAATGTATATAAACTAATTTACATTCAATCGTTTCTGTTTTTACTGTAATTTCTAATCAGTTATGTTCGGCGAAATACGAGAAGAGCCCAAATTGAATGGCAGTCTTTGACGTCTGGTTATTCCAGTCCACAACAATAGTATTCTCATGTGTGAGATGTGTTTAGCCTCGTTTATTGAGTTGGCACGTGATTCAATTTAAAGTTTTCATTTTGTCTTAAATATTGGATATCAGAAGCCTATCCTTTCTCGGTAAGATAACTAAATCAATGTTGATTTATACTGACCAATAAGTCGTGTTTGCAATGTCGAAAACTGTGGATGATATTGAGTTAGACTTGCCTCCTTTAAATTCAAGCATGTAGTAGAGAACCGTAAGAATAGAAGTCGGTTCGTTAATATCGCAGAGGCCTGTTTCGTGCCCATCTCATTCTGAATCATTCATATTAATGGGGAATGTTTTAAAATATTAACTTACATAAGACCTTCTTTGATGCGTTCGTCTTTGCTTTTCAATTCCCAATTGGTTTCTAAAATGTACCCATATTTACTTAAATAACCCTAAAAATAAATCAATAATATGTTAATACATATATAAATCACAACAGAAACAGTTGAGGAATTGCTACTATGTAATTTACGTTATCATATTCAACTCCCAGGGTGGGGGGGGGGATCAGTGCATGACGGAGGGTCTGGTAAGGCACGGTGTCTAGTCGTTTGGATGGTGGTAAGAAACAGTCTGGTTATTTGTTGGTGTGCAGGTTAAAGAACTCTTGACAATTGGAATTCGATGAAGGCGGAAACGCCCATGTCCGGGCAAAATTTCCCTCATGGTACACTGCATGGTGTACGTCCGTCTTTATTAACCCCGAATGGTGCAGAAAAATAGGACATTAAAGCCCATTTCATTTCCTAGTGGCCGATATTCCAGACAAATAATCGAAAGAATAAGATGAGGTCACGATAATACACCCATTGTACACGAAGGGTTTAACAACAGATTTAACAATTTAACAGTATTCTCAAGTTTTTGTGTTTTAAAAAAAAAAAAAAAAATTGTTTTTTTTTCTCAAGAAAGATGAGTCAATGATCTTGTGTGTGTTTGCACTGAGATACAGAACAGATGTAAATATCATCAGCAGTTTGTTTATATACATGATATAGGTATAGTATACATTATCAGTAGATATAACTGACACAGACATAGGTAGGTTACAATATCCCATAACTCTTAAGGTTATAATACAATGAGATACCTTTTAACGTTTACCCCGTTCGAACTACAAACTTAAATTGGATTGAAGCAATTATTTATAAAATCATCATTTCACACTACAAGCGAATCTTATCCATGGTTCAGAGGGTACGTTCGATCCTGGTGTTAGGTCTAGAATGTTCCTCGAGAACTCCCGGTAGTTGAAAGTTGATGAGAAGTGGGGTAATAAATTACAATAAGATATATCTTCATTAACTCAAGTACAAGAAGGGCAACATGAAATAGGGTTTTGACGTCCTTCTGTTCTGTACCGATTGGACTAATGATGGCGGATGGGGTAACATCCTCACTAACACAAATACACTAATATAAAGAATGTTATAGTATACTATCATTATTAGATTACAATTAGTGATGTAATATGTAACAACTAGATGCATCTTCACTAACACAAGTGATGTAATGTGTAACAATTAGATGCATCTTCCCCAACACAAGTAGTGTAACGTGTAACAATTAGACACAGCTTCACTAACACAAGGAATCCGGGAGAGAAGGTATTCTCATAGTTTTTGGCTATTATATATCCACTGTGCACAATGACTAGTCAGATAAGTGATATCCCGTCAGTTGAAATTAGAGGGGGGGGGGGCGAATGGTTAGCACTTGCGCGCTGTATCATAAGGCCTGTCATTGGGTCAACTGGCGTGGTTTCGAATCCCCGGTTGTACGTGACAAGGAGTAGGGTCGCCTGTCCAACCTCGTGGGTTTTCTCCGGGTCTTCCGGTTTCCTCCCACTTCTAAAGACACCTACGCGCAAGCGAATTAGTGAAATAAAATTAAACCATATGTTAGTCCCGAAATGACCTAGTTTGTGTCGAGTGAACGTTAAACCCCATTTCTCCTCCCTCTCTCTCTCTCTCTCTCTCTGCTGTATTATGTTTGTAGTTTGTATGGCGATTGATGCGCCATCTAGCTTAAACAAGTAATCGAGTTGCATGTACAATTAAATTATCTCTCAGTGGAAACATTAATGATTTACAATGAAATGACATGATTGGTTACGATGTAATTGATATATTATATATACTATATGTATATCACATCATCTTTTATACCTATAATTTTGTTTATTTATGTAATCTCCGCAATTAAAACTGTCTTGGGTTTTTACCTAAAACTCACAATAACATCAGTTAAAGAAAAATATATGTGGGCGGTAAGTATTTGGGTACAGTAAGTACTTATTAACTTATATCAGTCAACACATTTGTCGTAACTAGATTTATATATATATAGTAGAATGGTTAATCAAAGCTGCTCTTCGGTAATTAAAGATGGAAAAATAAAAGTACATTTTTATGCTATCGCGGTGAAAACGTTAGCATAAAAATGTATTTTTTTTTATTTTGCCATCTTTAATTTCAATTATATATATAGAGATCACAGAGTTATACCGTTATATCACTATTGCTGTGTTTACCTGTTGTAGCGTATAATATACGACATATGGGGATAGAATGGAGTTTAACGTCTTGTCGAGACTTTCTTGGGTCATTCTAAGACTAACATACAGATATATTGATTTCTAGTGCGCAATGCCGGGATCGCGATGATTCCATGTACTAGACAGGCGCCACCTGACAATTAAAAATTGGGCTTGTCATATCCCGAAGGCTGTTCTCGAGTCTAGATTTCTAACCAAACAACCACCGTGGACCGCTTCTCATCTTGTTGTTAATAGGAGCCATGTTTTCCCGAAATAAAAACCGTAAGGCTCCCCCAATTCATGTAAAATCGACAGGAAACTTAGCATGCTTGTTCCTTGGACAATTTCGCATCGAATGACGGACTTCAATTTTTTATGACGTCACAGTTACAAGGCGGCTGTGATGATGTCATACTCGGAAACAGGTCCACAGTTTGCTACATAGATAAGTGTCATAATTATCTACCCAACACAATCCACCCATTTGCAGATAAGGATTATCCATATTGTCAACGACAGTAATTGATAATCACCGGAACAAACAATTTAACTATGATATTTGTTATAATTTCTCTAACTTTTAGGTGGGGGATCACGTGGCTCAGTGGGTAAGACGCTGGCTCCCTATAGCCTGGAGGTCGGGTGTTCGATCCCTGCATTGGCCGAGAAAGTTCATCCAGATTTTCCGGCGTGGTTCCCCCTTGTCAGTGATGCAGGACGGAGGGCCTGACAATGACAGCTGTCTAGTCGTTCGGATGGGACGAAAAACCGAGGTCCCGTGTATATATTGGAATGCACGTAAAAGATCCACATGCAGTTGGAATTCGATATAAGAGTAGGCGATAGTGCGGCTGCCCGGGCAAAATTTCCCTCATAGCACACTGTATGGCGTATGCCCGTCTTCATTAGCCCAGTATAGGAGCAGAACAGTAGGACGTTAAACCCCATTTGATTTCATTTCATTTCTAACTTTTAGGTATAAGTATTTCAACTTTATGACCTTATTAATGAAAGTCAGATTTTGATATTCATATAGGGTCATATCTTTTAAAATAGCAGCTACAGTTGCAATGATGGATTGACAGAAATATGGTTGCGTTGACAGCCGAAACGGGTTACTTCCGGTGTTTAAAAAAAACTAGAGCGTCCAAAAGATTTATCAAAGTGATCAAGAGCAATAACTCTAGCAGTCGTTATCGGAAATTGCTGAAAATTAACGAACTTTTGTCACTTTTGCGTTCCATGGCCGTCAACACTGTGTATAAAAGCATTAGGATAATAATTTTAGCCCATAGAGCGTACACAAGCTGGACCGACGTGGGCGTATTAAAACAATTTTCAATGTTTAAATATTGTCAATTAGGATTTTGCCCATTTTCATTGCCACCCTTCTATGCATAGGTAACATCAACCTGGTATGCAATATGTTCCATTAGGCAATTGTTTTCTGGCACCACTCCATCACTCCTTCGACCTCCACAGACGTATTATTTCCCAATTATTAAATTAGGTCAGTTAAATACCTAATATACAACCGAAGACTTTAAACACTTCAACTGAATGTTTAGAAGTTTGAACTCCTAGAAACTTTCTCAATCCGTAATGATAGACACGATTTCTGAATTTTTTTACATAACGGTCACATTGAAGTGAACACTTTATGTAATTGCAAATATTTTATTTTGAATGAACTGTTATCTGATGATGGGCGTCGCCAGGAATTTTATACACATAGGAGTACATTTCACAGACATGTAAAAATTGAAAGTTTACTCAAGTTTGACGGAGTCATTTCATGCACTGTAAGGGCGACATGACCGAAGTGCAATAAAAATATATTCATTTGTTCAATTCAGTCAAAAAACATACAAAACAATAAAAAAAAACACAAAAAAAACGATAATGGCGTTTCCGCGTTTCCGTCAAATTCCAACTATTACGAGTTATTTACTTGAATTCCAACGTACACAGAGTCTCGGTTTTTCAAAAAATCCGAACGACTTTACGCTTTTCATAGCTGCATTATTGTAACGGCACCACAGTTTGCATGGAAATAAGTAATATGTTACAAATAGCGAAGAGTGGAACACTGAAATACTTACCGAATAGTTTTTCTACATTTTCAAGGTGACGTTTAATCCCGTGTGTGTTCTAATTCTGGTTTGGGGGACATTTTAAAAATGACAGAAATATCGCATAGCCGTTGGATTTTATTAAATTTATGAATTTATGTGGTACGGTTTAAGCTATGTGCAGTACAGTTTGGGTTCAGTTTAATTAGAAAGTAAGGGAATAATTGACCAGTAACATTTTTGTCATCAAATGCCTACAAAACTTGCTCAAAGGAAGTCTTTAGAACGATCAACTACTGTGGCTGGAGCAAGACTGAAGACATCAGTAGTGTAGGCATTTCTATTCGTTACTAAGGTGAAACTACCTGAAGTATTTATAAGTGACGTCACCCAGCTTTTGTTTATTTCACCTTTTGATGAGAGACAATTAATATCATGAAATGTTCTCATTATTCATATATGCAATCTCTGAGGGGTTGGATGGCCGAATGGTTAGCACGTGCGCGCTGCGCTGTATCATACTGTCAACTGGTGGGGTTTCGATTCCCCGGTTGTACGTGACAAGGAGTAGGGTCGCCTGTCCAACCTCGTGGGTTTTCTCCGGGTCCGTCGGTTTCCTCCCACTGCTAAAGACCCCTACGTGCAAGCGAATTATTGAAATAAAATTGAACCATATGTTAGTCCTGAAATGACCTAGTTTGTGTCGAGTGGACGTTAAACCCCATTTTTTTCTCTCTCTCTCTATATATGCAATCTGATCCTTTGTTTTAAATCAATATGAAAGTTTACATGTTTAGTACTTAAATAGTTGTGTATCTGGATAAATAGTGAATTTGTTATATAGCATTGTCACTTTCATTGTTAAATAGCAACGTCTCTTTACATGATAAATATCTTTGTCTCTTTTAACTGTTAAAAAGTATTTTCTCTTTAATTGATAAATATTGTCTCTTTAATTTTTAAATGGTATTGTCTCTTTAATTTTTAATATTATTTATTGTCTCTTTAATCGTTAAATATTATTCTCTGTAGTTCTTAAAAAGCACTGTCTTGTGATAAATGGGTGCAAATTAAATGTATATTTTTTGTCTTCGTTATGCTATCTTCTATACCGTCTTTAAAGGATGTTTCAATGACATTACATTCTGTTCTTTTGCGACGACCAAATGATATTGTGTAATGATTTTCCAGTTAGTATTGAAATGGCGAATACTTATATTGATTTTATCGATTTCAGCATGTAATACGTCATTTAAGAAGGATAATTACCATTCAGTACATATTCTACTCATATAAACCATTTTATTTGTGTTTATTTGTCTTCAAAGCCACTGGTCGTCATTTTCCTATTTGTTCCGGACAATATCAAATTTTCCACGGCTTTTCACGCTAAAGCATATTTAAATTGATAATTTAGCATTTAATTAAACATACATTAATGCAAGAGCTAAATCTGCCTATTGCAAGTCTTTATTTAGGCTTCAGATGTTACAGAAATTTTTAATTAGACCTTTATTTTGACGACAAACTTAAAATCAACTCTGTAGACCCACGGATGGCTTGGACACAGTTTGGATTTAAACAGCCTCGTCCATTTAAAGGACAATATTGGTGCCAGTCATTATCACATATGTGATAGAACTGGTTAAACACGTTCCAAATATATTTTTAACACAGAGATTATTGCTACGATAGCTGAGTAATACAGGTTTCCCGTATTGGAAGTGACGAACGCCAAAGGAAAACACGAGTCACGGCTCTATATAACTGACTGAAGCGACGAGTGATAACAGATACACGGCCGAATTTCTACTCACTAATAATTCCTTCGATGACCAAAAGTTGTTATATGGGACTGTAAGAGGATATCTGACAATTCAATAAAGTAATTGAATGTCATTAGATAAGAGAACACGAGAAAAATAGAAATAGTCCGTATATTCCCTTGTTTATATTCATTCTATACCTTATAAATACATGGTAATGCACGGACTTTTTCTGTTTTTCTTTCATGTTCTCTTATCTAGTGGCAGTCAATTCTTTTTATGAATTGTCAGATATCCTCTCACAGTCTCACACAACAACTGTTGGTCTTCAAGGGAATTATTAGTGAGCAGAAATTCGGCCGTGTATCTGTTATCACTCGTCGCTTCAGTCAGTTATATAGAGCCGTGACTCGTGTTTTCCTTTGGCGTTCGTCACTTCCGATACGGGAAACCTGTATTACTCAGCTATCGTAGCAATGATCTCTGTGTTAAAAGTATATTTGGAATGTGTTTAACCAGCTCTAACACATATGTAATAATGACTGGCACCAATATTGTCCTTTAAAATTAAATCAATAAATGGCGGACCAAGCTAACGTTTACCGTTACTCGCTGATGTCACAACCGGAAACTGGTGATGAAGCCTGCCAAGCGAGGCTACCATCGCCCATTGAGCATGTTACTTGATAATCGAGAATATGTGGGTGGAGTTATCGCTTGTCAATCAAACGATCGCCAATTCTCATAGACGGTGAAGACACAATTGATTGCTATTTCTAGTCCAAACAACTTTTAACAGTGACAATTCCGTTCAGAACAAAGTAATTTGACTGAAATTTTCAACATTTTCTTTTTTGATGATGTATTTTTGAATTATTATAGCAAGAATGAGCAACTCTTTAAGAAAACAAAATCAAAATACCAATGGTATATTATATGTCCTGTTGTATTAATAAGAGTTATATCAAAAGATTTTAGAGATGCTTCTTCGATCGTCCACTTCCACCTGAGGTGATATCGTCTGCAGGGAACATCAAATGTTGAGAAATTCTCAACTCAACACAATCTTTGTAAACTTTGAACGAAACTGGGCCATTTTTGGACTGATATTCCTTCCAGCGGTTCAAACAGAAATTTCGCATAGGAGTTGGGTTTAATCAAATCATATAATTATGCGGTGAGGTTTCACCTTTATTTCAATGGGAATTGGTTTATTATATGTTAAGGGGGGGGGGGGGGGACCGAATGGTTAGCGTGCGCGCACTGTATCATAAGGTCTGTAATTGATTTAACTGGCGTGGTTTCGATTCCCCGGTTGTACGTGACAGGGAGTAGGGTCGCCTGTCCAACCTCGTGGGTTTTCCCCGGGTCCTCCGGTTTCCCCCCACTGCTAGGCGAATTATTGAAATGAAGTTGAACCATGTGTTAGTCCCGAAATTACCTAGTTTGTGTCGAGTGGACGTTAAATCTCTCTCTCTCTCTCTCTCTCTCTCTCTCTTGTAAAGTTATGTACAGTACAGTTTGGGGTCAGTTTAATTGGAAATTAAGGAAATTCTATTCCAGTAATTTTTTTGTAGTCAAATGCTGTAGCAAGGCGGAAGAAATCGGGAGTGGGGCTATTTCTAACCTTACGTGCGGTGGCGTGGGACAACTTTTGAACTTCGACAAACCATAGCCGAGTTTCGGTATGTTTTTTGTATTCCAAGAGAAACCATAGCTGAGTTTTGGTATGTTTTTTGTATTCCAAGTTTAACGTCTATACCTACTTTCCATTTTCACATGGCTGTTTTTGTGCGCGAGACAGGTGGGTTGATCAGTTAAAAGAATGACTTTTTTAATAGTGTATTTACATAACAACTTATTAACATTTTAACGTTTACATGGTGCATTTTCTCCTCTTTATTTACATTTGGTTTGTCTTTGTTCTATACATGTACTGTTTGTTCTATTATATGTTTTGATGCTGGGTTTATCTATTAACATTAAAGAATGTACATAAAATCAGCTGCATTGTAAATTGTCCTAGATCTTGATTTATTTTTATACTATTACTGGTCCATTTATCTCTAAGTGGGTCTTTAAATAAGCTTGTTTTAATTCATATACACTGAGACATGCACTGTTAACTCGTGTTCATACATATATAGGGCCCAATCAATAATGGCGCAACCAACATTATACTAATAGAACAGACGGATCGACCCCACTTCTAGAATTCAACATTTACGAAAGGGAAACCTTATATTCGGAGCCTAATAGCCGATGGTCCATTATTGTAGGCCCCACCTTCAACGTCTCGCGCATATCTAACCTATATACATGCTGTAACAATTGCATAATATATAATTTTAATCACATGATTGACGTACATATCGACAGTAATCTACACCGTGTGTATAATAGTTGTCTGTATACAGAACAACAATCTATAATTTGATGAACATATCTAGCAGACGAACTATTTCCGACGTCTGCTTTAATGAGATTATTATCAACATTGGACTGTGATGAAATTAAGCACCGCGGTATCGAACGATAGACTGCAATACAAAATGTAATGTTGTCAATACTATCCTGGTTTCGGAGTCAACGAAGCGTTTCATTATAGCATTAACGTATTACGAATTTAACAAAAGCGTTACTATTATTATACACTACATAGCTGCAATTCGACACCCCTTTATATAGACAAACTCATAACAAAACACGTCAAATATTTATCATTCCCTGTAAGAAATAAGGTTCATACTTACGTATATATTGATATGTCGAATGTGGTTTATGGGCAGCGATGATATAAGGCTAGTATAAACAAAGGATATTATTAATACCCGTATATCCATTCTCACTTCCATATTATTATTATAAATCCAATTTAATCACATGAACTATAAAGAGCACAAACACATAACGTCTACATACTACGTTCTTTTGATATACCGTCACGTGACTCACAGTCAAATCATTCGCTATAAAGAATACGGTGAAGAGAACTACGCACGATAAAGCGACGATTGAAGAATGGTAGAAGCCGTCTGCTAATAGTGTTATGAGATATTTTAGTGGCGATTGAACTTTCTACCGCCCTCTCATATCTGACTTCCTGGCCTCATTTCAGGAAGCTGGGAAAATTTCAAATAAATTATAGCCTAAATATGACTATCACAGGCTGCTGAATTCAAACGGCCATGAAACAAATGATACATCTCTGCAATGGTTCAGCCTATATACTTAAAACTTGTTTAGCAAACCAGTCAAACTTCTTTGTACATCACATGATACAGTTATCGTTTGCCAAAATCAATTGGGGATTGTGGGATATGGTGGTGCATGTTGGGGGTGTGGGTGGATTTCGTGGAGTGGGGTGGGGTAGCCCCTGCCCCTGCCCCCCCCCCCTGGATTTGGGTTGAAGTTACTTTAAATTTCCTGGGTGGTCGGGCCCTTAATACCCGTTATACCAATTATAACATTGGTACAATTATTATATATATTCAAACTGAAATTGCTTTCTTTGTTATTTTGGGGGGTTGGATGGCTGAATGGTTAGCGTGCGCGCGCTGTATCATAAAGTCTGTCATTGAGTCGACTGGCGTGGTTTCGAATCCACGGTTGTACGTGGCAAGGAGTAGGGTCGCCTGTCCAACCTCGTGGGTTTTCTCCGGGTCCTCCGGTTTCCTCCCACTGCTAAAGAACCCTACGCGCAAGCAAATTATGTAAATAAAATTAAACTATATGTTAGTCCCGAAATGACCTAGTTTGTGTCGAGTGGACGTTAAACCCCATTTCTCTCTCTCTCTTTCTTTGTTATTTTATAAAATTTAAACAAATTTATTATTAAATTGGCCGAAATAATGACTACCCGTATGTGGGGCGCCTAAAGTGTCTTTGAAATGGCACCGGCAGCTAGAACAAAGACTAAAATTATGAATGAAAGTATAACATCGATTGAGTATAAAATTTGTTGTCACGCATTAATTTGTACTCTATTACCATATAGAGTAGGGAGTATTATACAAACTCGTTCTATATATTACCAGGCCTAATGTAATATAATTAAACTATTTTGTCGCACAGCATTAATCATATTGTTGGTGTCTCCTTGATTGTGTATGATTTACATTTCAAGGTAATCTTATATTATATGTGCATGCAGTCTTGACGTGTATCCTTCCCGTCAGTCTAAAGTCCCGCGCTGCGCCACCATCATACGCAAATTACGCCGTCTGTGTACAATAAGCTCCGATTGAGAACAGACAACACAGATCCTATTTCTTTTCGTTTTTTATTGTTCAAAATTTCATTTTACTTGTCTTTACTACACTAGGTTCTGGTAGAGTTGTTATAATTATATAACCCGTGTTCTGATTGATGTGAGGGATTAGCCAATGAAACGGTCTGTTGCAGCGAGTTCTTGGCGTGCGATGCAAGGACCTGTGCGTATCCTACTAGACACATCAACGCCGATTGGTTAATCAAATGTCTGGCGTCATAGGGTCAAAAGTTACTCGTATTACCCCTGACGCGACCTCCCACTACAACTGGTCAAATCTTCATGTAGTAGTAGAGGTCATCGATTGTATTAAAAAACGAAACGAAATATCTGTATTTTAATCAGATTGTGAACATCATCAAGGGAATGTATGATCATATTTTGAACTTCATGACGGGGCTTTTGAATCTACGAATCAGACACCAGGACATCCTGGTTGCTATAGCTTCAATCATAAAAAGCTGTGGTACAAAGCATATTTTGTATAATATATTTTCACAGATAGTGATTGTCAATTGTTTACGGCTAGCCATAATATTAATGTTCTCCCCATGTCCACAGCCTTAACAAAAACCATTATAACGTGAATCGATTCTTTAGAATATGATATTCCCCGCTGGGTAACAGATAAGGTTGTATAAAATGGCAAATTATTTGACAAAGCAGGAACGCAGCTATAGTTATGAGATTAACAGTACCGGTACCGTAACCACTTACTTTTTTCAGAATTTCAGTAACCGCCTTTGTATGTCTGTGGTTGATATTGATATGTTTATTAATTCCATAATACCTCCGGTGTTATAGCAGGTATAGATCAGGGATCAGGATATACGCTTACCGCTTTCTAAACAGATGATACTTTTCAAATGAGAATGTATCTATTTGAAAGATTCTATTCCTATTGCTTTATTGTGTCAGGTTCTCACTGTCGTGCGATGCGTTACGACCGGATTGTCCCTATCGAGTCTACGATCTGCTACGTGCAGATACGTTCGGATGCGTTTCGATACGATCAACACGATTGGCACGATTGACCTCATTTTATTTTTAAACCTGATAGGATCACCACGATTACTTCACGATTAAAACCACGATTTCAATCGTAGCGCGAATCGTGGTAGCGCCGTGGGAATATAGCATAACCTCGTGTTCAATCCAATTCAGTATATTGAATGAAATATTTTTTCAACCAACCTCGTGAATTTTTCACACTGCTAAATAATAAAAAAACCTGGTAAGTACAGAGCAAACGCTAAACCTAAGACCGGTCAACAGGGCATTTATTAGTGCAACAAGACCCACTGTTTTGTATAACAAGGAAGAAGCAGTGCCGCAGTGGGGGAATACCGATGATGTCAAGTGAAAATCGCGAGATTTTGGTATTATTTGAGAGATGGGAAGTAGCATAGTATTAAGGTAAACAGCACACAAAGAACAGGGCTGCTGTTAACTTCTCGAAGCTCCACCAGGTTTAACAAAATTCAAAATTGTTTTCGCGGCCGTTGTAAGACCCCCCCCCCCCCTTCCCCCGAACCATCCAATAGCCCAGTGTCTCAGATTCCTTAAAAAAAAATCCCTGCCGATCAAACTATTTATTTTGATTATATAATTGACATACAAAAGAACGTTCATTACAATATACACCACAACATAATTACAGACGTAGGCCTATCACATATTATCTCTATAGATCGTTTCACTTGTAATTTTGGCAACTGTTCAAGACGATGTTATTATGTAGTACAGCCGACTTCTGGTACGATCCATGCCTGGTGCTGATTAACTAATTAAATGAGAATATCTACCATCCCGCGAGAGTTCTCGTGGTTCAGATCGAATTCTTATTAGGTTCAGTAGGCATAATCATAAGTATACATCGACCTATTAACCCATAGACGGGGGGTTGGATGGCCGAATGGTTAGCACGCGCGCGCTGTATCATGCGGTCTGTCATTGAGTCAACTGACGGGGTTTCGATTCCCCGGTTGTACGTGACAAGGAGTATAGGGTCGCCTGTCCAACCTCGTGGGTTTTCTCCGGGTCCTCCGGTTTCCTCCCACTGCTAAAGACCCCTACGCGCATGCGAATTAAAATTGAACCATGTGTTAGTCCCGAAATGACCTAGTTTGTGTCGAGTGGACGTTAAACCCCATTTCTCTCTCTCTCTCTCTCTAACCCATAGACATGTATAAATAGTTATATAATATATAACACCACAAGCGGGCTAATTAAGACGGGCAAAACATCATGTAATGTGCTATAAGTAACAGTCATAATTATACATTTTATAATATGGTTGTTATGAATCTTAATGCAAATCACTTTGTGACTTGTGTTGACCTGAAAACTAAAATTATGTAAGTTTTAGATTTTGTTATATCTGGGATTTAAATGTATGCAGCATAATTTTTGTAATAGATGTTAAATACACGCATGATTCTTCTATACATGGTTATAATATATATACATGACGTACTGCCTAATTACTCATTACTAAAATGCTGAAAATCAAAATGTTTGTTATGGGAGAAGTTTTCCCACTAAATTCGAGACAATGTCTCCCCTAATTTACAGGTCAAAACTTAGTCTTTAGGAATTTTTATAGAAAATCTCGCGAATACGATTTGGTGAAGTTAAGTCAACCAAATGTAAATTTTTATGGAATTATGGCTGTCCATGAACAAATCTGACCCTAATATCAAGTGCAGGCCCCGAAAAATTTATCAGAAGTTCTAATATTTTATGGTTTTCTGTATAGATTTTAGTAGTCGCATGATATATAGTTGACGTATCTTTACCCCCCACCCCCCACACACACCACCATCAACAAAAACAACAACCCCCTCCCAAAAGAAAAAAAACAACAAAACTGAATAGAATTTATCCTGTACATACCTATATTGAGTGAGACTATAGAAATTCTCCGAAACTGATGATTAAATCCGTGCCATTTCTTCTAGAGTTATTTCCCTTGAATAATGATCATTGCTAAACCGATATTACCCTATTCGGCAAAATTTTGACAATTATTTACAGGACAAGCACCTGGTCTCAAATGCTTGTTTAAATTAAAAAAACAAAAACATCTCGTGTTTTATTTAAGCATAGGCGACGAAACTGCAGTGGTCGTGTACGTGTTATCGTGCACTGCAAACTATGTTTAGTTTGAGCCCCTGGGGTGACGCTCGGTCAGAATTGGATTCTTATCGATCGTGTCCAGAGTGGGATTCCCACTAACCTGGCATAATTATTAGTGACATATTGGTGAGAAAGATCATGGGAATTTTCCAGCTTGGTTCCCCCTTGGTGTAGGACGGGGGGGAGAGAAGAGGGGGGGGGGGCGTGGCAAGAGACAACGTATAGTCGTTCGGCTGGGACAAAAAAAAAAGAGGTCCCCTGTAAATATTGGCGTGCGCGTAAAAGAACGCTTGACAGTTGGAATTCAAAATAACAGTAGTCCATAGCAGATTGCATGGCGTATGCCCGTCTTCATTAGCCCGGTTGAAGCAGAATGTAGGACGTTAAACCCCATTTGATTTCATTTTAGTCTTCTTCATTAATTTCACTGTAAGATTCGCAGGCAGAAAGGGTGAGTGAGTTGTGTTTATTTTCCAAGATGTATGATAGCAGGACCCAGGGGCTTAAAAATTGTTTCTCTCTGCTCCATTTTTGCGTTAATTACACTTGCTTGTTGATTTCAAACCACCAGTTCAACACTGAATTTAAAAATTTTGAAATATTTACATTAGAGTGCTTAATCTGTGTTGAAATTATTGTATATGCTAAGCATTGAGAGAATAATTCCTAAAGTGCTCGTTGGAGTATAAGAATGCTTTGGTTTTATCTGCGGCTGGCTTTATACAGAAAATATATTCTAAAGACCATTGGTTTAATAATAAAAAAAAACCATTTTATTAAATTCTTTATAATAAGTTACAAT